AGCAGTGTAATACAAAAGGCAGGTGTTTACATAACTCCTTGTTGGTGAGTATGTGATAGGATCGGGTGTTTTATTCCTATAATATCATTTCTCTATGTAAAAACTTAAACATGCTACTAAATAGATCTGAATCTCCAATATCACCCTGGGAAGTTTTTCTCTTTTTTTTTAAAGGCTGTATTTATTTATTTTTCTGTAGAAGAACTGGGGTATAAGCAAGAGGTATGGTGGGTGAGAGGATTCACCAGAGACAGAGTGGGGAACAGAAAAGGTGGATCTACTGAAATGAACTGCTAAAGGGAGAGGTCTGCTGTGCCATGAGGTATGCTGTGCCAGCTCCCTGCCTGGGGACCGAACTCAGGTCACAGAGGTGATAGTGCTAAGACTTAACCTCTAGGCTACCACAGACACCCCAAACTACTTCTCTTTAAAGCACTGACTGAACATTCCATCTCAGCAGACATGATCTCCTCGGAGGTGGCTAGACGGTGGATTCAAGGTTAGAGGAAGAGTTTGCTGGAGAAAGACAGTAGCGTGATGGATGGTGTGAAGAATTAGCGTTATCGGGGCACTCCCTGGTGGTGCAACGGGTTCAGGCTCAGCATTGCAAGCAAGCCACAGCTGCTTTAGTGTGAGATCAATCCCTGGTCCCGGAGGTGACCCACATGGAGCGGCAGACCTCTCCTGAGCCTCCCACTGCTCCCCTCAGCAGTGTACTTCATAAGTCGGCCTGTTCAGCTCCCGACTCTATGTCTGGTGAATCCTCTCACCATGCTTGTACCCCAGTTTTGTATGCATAAATAAATAAACCTTTAAAAAAAAGAATTAGCATTAAGTTTCTATAAACCTTCTAGAATCTAGGACACTACGGATGGACACATGCTGAAAAGATTTGGGTTAAGATGAGAAGAAAACATATGTGATAGTGTGTTCTACATTCAATCAAGGTATGACTCTTTCTTAGTTTAGATACTTTCTTAGTCTTGACGTATGTGCAAGGTGAGATTATTGGTATTGGCGCAATGATAATGACATTAACTTATTGAATGCACACTGTGACAGACACATGATTTCTTTTCAATATTTTTTAAACCTTGTTCATTTTTTCACAACATAGGATTTCTCCCCTCAGGTGTGGTTATTATAGTTTCCCCACCACCAAAGTGCCCACAGGTCTCTACCACCCTCCATCGAGCTCTCCTCCCTGTCTACTCTCCTCTCCTCTTTGTCCCTCTCCTCCTGAGGCTAAGGTCTGTTTCCAAGGGTCACAGATACACAATGTCAACTTATTATTTATAACAGCGCTAAAATAATCATTCCACAGCTATCCCCAATTTATAGGGAAGGATAAGCAGACAGAGAGAGGCAAATACTTAACACCTCTTGAGAAATCTTACCTAAGTCTCTGATCAATGTCTTTCTTTGCAAACAGTTTAATTTTTTAGAGGAAAACTGAAGCATATCAAAGGTGCTATTTTAGATTTAAGACTCATCAACAAGAAAGAACTGGATAGTCAGACAGAGGAAATATGATGTTGAGAAGAAAGTGTTATCATCCCAAGGCACAGAATAGTTTAGGAAGGAAACCCCAGACTGAGTCACACATTTACCGCAGAACACTAGAAAAAGCAGGCTCTGAAAGAAAACACACACACACACACACACACAGTAAGAACGGACTTGTGGCCAAAACTATGAAAAGTAAGATGACCAATAAGTGATGGGAAGCATTAAAAAATAAAACTGAACTGACCAAGACCAAAAGGTCATGGATTATCATCCAGTCTAAACAGGGGGAAAAAAAACAACTACAAACCAGAGACATTCTATGGATTCTGTGGGGGTGGAGAGGGGAACAGGATCAAAATGGGCGGGACTATGGTGATGGCACATGGGGGAAGTGGTGGCGGGAAGCCCACGGGGATTGCAACTGAGATGGAAAAAGGCACAAAATAAAGAATGACGTAAAATTCATATACACATATAATAAAATACTTTTTTAAAAAACATATCAAATAAAGTATTTCTGGGTTAAAAGAAATAAAACCTTAATATATGATTAAATAAAAAAAAACAGAGTGGGAGCATTGCTCCAAAAATAGCTGAAGAGGAATGGGTGGTCCTCGAGAAATCAGGCCATCCACACCAAAACTTCCAAGAAAGCTGAGGACAGCAGAGTTCACAGATACCAGGACAACACATTCCAATTTTACTTCACTTTTTATGGAGAAAACACTTGGTACAAAGATGGCACTTCAACCATGTCTAAGAGACTCTAAGCACTGTGATAATGAATAACACAAACATCCAAGTACAGACTCACGAACCTACCAATACTTACAGTTATTGCAAGTAAAATATGGGTCACAAGACACTAGGAAATGTGCTTACGGTCCAAAGATGGATCATCTTAACCTAATGTTCAAAAGAACCAGTAGATTCTAAAAACAAGCAAAAGTCTAGCATTAATCATCAGGCCTGGGCTTTGAGAACCAGTAGAAAGTAAAGCAGTAATCACCAACACATGCCAAGGATGGTATTCCCTTTGCTTTGTTAACATTGGCAGACTGACACAGAAAGAAAAACCCACAAACACCAGGGCAGCGAATGGAAAAGCTACAGATGGATGGAAAGAGGATTCATAGAATAACCCATCCAGGCCAAATGGCATTTCTCTGCCTTGTGTAAATAGTGATGACTTGGGTCCAATAGTACTCAAAAGATTTTTTCCTCACAAAGACTCAAACATAGACAACTAGGCAAGACAGTCATATGTGTGACATAAAGCAGGAGAATTAAAACACTGGATGTCAAACTGAGGAAAGATTGGTAGCGAGCAAGAACTAGAAAAAACATTAATTTTTCTCTTTTCTTTCTTCTTCATCTGTCAGCATTTACATGTTTATAAAACTTGGGGTTAAATTTGCACCCCTCTATACATGCTACTGCTTCACTCACCCTCCTCCAAACCTCCTGTGCCAATGTCCTACCCCCTCTTTCTTCCTCTTCCCCCCTTAAGTCCCCCCCCCACTACCATTTCCACTAGTAAACAGTCTATTTTTCACTAAGCCTATGTTGTTTGGTTATTTATATAAATTTTATAAGTAAGATACAGAGTTGCCACAGTGATTCTACATTTTTTCAGACAACGATCTCTACAATTCTATCTCAGAGTGCAGTCAATGAGTTTATTTTCTGCCAGTTGGTCATTTACCCCACTCATAACATTAGCATTTAATGCATCTCAAGATCTGCTTCTCAACAGTTCCACATAAAATTATGTTCCTGGACTAGGCCTCAAATTTACCAAGCTGGTGAATTTTATACTTGAGGTGGATTTGAAATCTAGCATCTAAAAATGAGGTATATAATTTAGACAAAGGTAACCTCAATCAAGTAATCTCCACTATGTAACACTGTATTAATGTAAACTTATTCTTACTCCTAATAATAATTACTTATAACATATGGCAGTGACAAATTACGTGATTAGAAATTGTCTTCCCTAGTCATCTAAGATCAACATATCTTGCTCTTGATTTACTTGATATAAAATGAGTTGAACCAGATTTAACATTACCTCAGTACTTTATAGTAATAAAAAATGCTGAATTGAATTTATACTTATATTTAAAATTACAGTTTTACAGGTTAATAGTTCCTCAAAAATTCAACATAAAATTACCACATGGCCCACTCCTAGCTGTATACCCAAAAGGATTTAAAGCAGGGATTCAAAAGGCACTGGTACCTCAAGGTTCGTTACTGACAACAGTCAAATGCAGTGCCATCAACATACGACGAATAAGCATGTGGTATTCTTCAATATTCTTCAATGATGGAAGAGAAATGCAGTTCTGATATTTGTACAATAAGGAAGAACTTTCAAAATATTCTGCTAAGTGAAATAAGCCAGCCCCCAAAGGAAAATGTTGCATGAAGTCCTAAATGCACACAAACAGAAAATAGAGATACCAGTGGGTAGGAGGAGAGGGGAGTGGTGACTTATTGCTTAATAGAGTTTGGGATGATAAAAGTTTTGGAAATAGATACAAGTTTTGAATAACTAATTGTGGTGATGGTTGTACTATCTATATTTTTAATGATTTATTTATGTGTATAAAAGCTAGGTGTAGGCCTGAGTACCGGAAGAATAAGAGGATTCACCAGAGACAGAGTGGAATAGGGAGCAGAATAGGAGAACTCACTGAAATACACTTCTGAGGGAAGACAGGTGAGGTCTGCTGCACCATGTGGGTCAGCTCCCTGACCAGAGAGAGGTGACCCACATGGCATGGCAGATCTCTCCTGACCTACCCACTGCTCTCCTCAGCAGTGTACTTCAGTACATGCCTGTTCTGCTTCCCACTCTCTCTCTGGTGAATCCACTCACATCCAACTCCTCTGACCCATACCCCAGTTCTGTATGTATAAATAAATAAATCTTTAAAAAAAAAAAAGTGTAAGTACTGAAAGCTAGAAAAATCATTCCATCCAAAATCAGAAAGAAAACTAGCCTGATACATAGTAAACCACATTACAATAATATCCTCAGCTGTCACTCTGGTTACAAATGTAGGATTAAAGGAAAAGATAATACATATTACATATTAAACAGAGCAATAAAAAAGTGCTTGGACTGATGAATGTTTTAAAGTGGTCCTCAGCAGTGGGAAAAGTGGTTTTAAGATTTATGTTGAGGGTCACTCTTTTGTTAATACTGTTTTTGTGAAACTATTCAACTTTTACAGAACTTGTATCATGAATCAAATTAATAATGCAGACCAACCAAAAGTTCTACTTCCTGTTATCCTGCACGTGTTTCTGGCTGTGGCTAAGAAAGTTCAAATTTCAGATTGAAGTTACTCTTCACCCCTTTCTGTGTGTCCTCATGGCTTCCTCAACAGCTCACAACTGCCTTAACGGTCCATGCAGGTTCCTGGAAAGATGACACCTGTCAAACGCTAGTTCATCATCAAGATAAAAAGGAGAGTGCATACCTCGTTCAAATTTTAAACGCTGATAAAGCTGAAACTGATCCACAGGCACCAAACAGGCAATCTGAAATCAAAGACAATAGAAAGATGAGATTTCAGTCCTCACAGACTCCCTAGCTAACAGTCTTTGAATACTTCTGCTCCTTATTGGCTCTCTATGCTCTATGCCATTTCTCTACCCTGCTGAAGTCACCTAGGAGTGCCACAGCATGCAGGGAGCCCCTTCAACTCATACATCAGCATCCACACCTGTGTTGGTTCTTTCAAATTATTTGCATACCTAGAGAAAGATGCTCCTTTCTCGCTGTAGTGCTTCAAGAAATGTTTTCAAGATTACAGTTCTAGTTCTAGCATCCTTAACCAACAGGGTCAAGGCAAATAGTATCCTGGGAATTAGGAAAACACCTAGGTTATGTTTGGACTGTTATATGGCACAAAGGAAATGTGGACACCAGGGCTAATGAGAAGCAAGTTTAATGGACCAGTGCTGGCTCAGTGGATTCCCATCCCAAGGTTGAGCCCCCTTTGTAGGAATTCAGGGGCTTATATACACTTTTGAGTTTCTACAAGATTCCAGCTGTACATGGCCAGATATGACATGGCTACATACCAAGAGATGAGTTGTATAGTTGCACACCAAGGAGTGAGTAAAAGCTGAGTAAAGGGTCAGTAGTGATGGGGACCCCCAGGCCCAGTAGTCATGGTACCCCCCCAGCCCCAGTTCATCCTGCCTCATGGTCTAACATGAAGCAAGATATGTATCAGGGACTACTTTGCATACCAGGTACTGAGCCAAAGGTTATGACTAAGGTCCTCAGGCTGCTTATTTCAGTCACCTTGCTTCAGGAATAATACCCCCTAAGCAATGGATAAATAGTCTCCTCTGACAAAAATCACCTCATAGGGCCCTTGAGTATCATATCATGCCTTACCACCCAGAGCTAGAAATGAAAATATTTAAGGTATTTTCTGTAGTTCATCTCCCAATTCCATTTCAGATGACAATAGGAACCAAAGTCTTCCCAGTCAAAAAACAGTGATTCATAGCTAACCAAATGACATTTCAGATTAATAATTTTTAAATTGCATTCCAAAGACAGATGCAGGAAAAACTGGTCTTAAACTGGCATTCTAAAAATAAAATAACTCCATTGACGTCAACATGTAAGTAGACTGACATTGCTGAAATGATTTATAACGAGAAAACTGAAGGAAGTGATATTAGGGTCCCAGGCTCCCAGCAAATCGATACAGGACACAGTGTTAACCTCGCCAATTCTAACAGTAAAGAATTGCATGATTTTAATATGAAATATATTTAGGTGAAAGCTATTGCAATTAATGGAAGTCAGCCTTGAGAAAACCAAACCCCCCCCAAAAAAAATGCAGCTAACATGGTACAAATAATATACCACATTTTAAAAGGCATGCAAAATCAAATTCCGTCTCCCACCAAAAAAACAAACAAACAAACAAACAAAAAACCTCAATTTGTTTATTTTGCAAATGAATGAAACTAAGTTAGCTAAAATGTAGGGGAAAGATCATAAAACAGTCAGTTCACTCTTCTCCATTCCAAGTAAGTTTGGTAAAACATGAATTTAATTTAATTATCATGGGAGGATAATGTTGCTCTTTCATCTGACAACTAAAATACAGGTTGCTTCACAATCATTGTAAAATTTGTGTTTAACTTTGTTATGGATATTTTATCATCATTTTTTTTTTTAAGTAGGATGAGACTTTCATCCTACTGTGTCCTGTATCAATTTGCTGGGAGCCTGGGGCCCTAATATCACTTCCTTCAATTTTCCAAGTTATAAATCGTTTCAGCAATGTCAGTCTACAGCTTTGTCTCATCTGTTATAGTAATTAGATGTCTTTCTGGGAAGTGTCCTGATAAAATGCAAATTTGGTGGCCTTCCTGGCCACCCACAGGGTTAAACTGCAGAACTATGAAGCTATCCTCAGCCACTTCAGCAGGAGTTCGATAACCCAACCAGCTGACCCACCTGGGACAGCATATCGCTCCTATCTTGACCACTGCTCCCCTCAGCAATGTGTTTCAGTCCTTCTGGCTATTCTGCTCCCCTCTCTGTCTCTGGTGAACCCTCTCACCCACCACACCTCTGGTCTGTAACCCAGTTCTTGTATGCATAAATAAATAAATCTTTTTAAAAAATAAAATTTGGAGACAGAATGGGAATGTAGGGGATTAAGGAATTAGGCATTAAGCTCAATTCCTGACTTTGTCACTGATTCACAGTAGGTGGAGGGCAAATAATCTATTATTACCTGGGTTCCTGGGATGATGACATCTGGTATGGAGAGATCTCAGTAGCATGCTATAAATCTATTCTTAAAACCTCCCCCAAAGCGATTTGAGGTCTTTGATTTTATGGGACAATCCTGTAACCACCACCCCCACTTAAAAATAGTTTTGGGACTGACGAAGATCTTATTCAAACCTTTTAAAGTCAATCCTTAAACATTTTTTTTCAATGTTAGCCAATTTACATAACATCTAAGTCAAAAATAGGTTACGGGGGCCCTCCCTGGTGGCGCAGCGGGTTAAAGCACTGCACTGAGAAACTAAAGCCACCTCCGCATGAGTTCGATTCCCACCTGCCCCAGAGGTGACCACATGGCGTGGCAGACCTCTCCTGACCCGCCCGCTGCTCCACTCAGCAGTGTACTTCCTCGATCTGCCTGTTCTGCTCCCTGCTCTGTCTCTGGTGAATCCTCTCACCCTCCGCATCTCTGGCCTGCACCCCAGTTCTGTACGAATAAATAAATCTTTAAAAAAAAAAAAATAGGTTACGGTAGACAAAGTAAACTGGAGACAATATTTCAGATAATGATGACATGCTAATGAGAAAGTGAGATAAAAAGGTAACAACAGTAGAGGTGAGTGTTTCATTTTATATTAAAAAGATCAATTTTATCAGCGTACACAGAACTGCCAGTAGAAGTCTCTGACCTCTATTTTTTCATGTCTTACTCTGCTATGAATCTTTTATTTGCTATTTCATAAATCAAAGGTGTGTATAAAATCGAGCATTCATAAGATAAACCAAAATATTCTATTTCTTACCCTGCCCTTTTAGAATAAAGAAATACACTGCTAAGTGAGGCAGCAGGCAAGACAGAAGTCTGCTTGCCACAGGTGAGACAGCTCCCTGACCTGGGAATCTAACTTAGTCCCCTGTGGTGACTGCACTGATACTTAACTCCTAGACTTCTAAGAAGACCCACCTCTATTGATAAATCTTGCCTATAATAGTTATTAATACCATATTACTTAATGATGATCTATTTCATCCCTCATTCTGTACTTGTTAATTAAAATTCTATTATTTCTTCCTCCCCTTTCCTTTATTTATTTTAATCAGTATAAACTACCGATACTTATTCATTCATTGAGTTATAACCCATAACTGGCCCGATCAATCAAGTAGTAAGAAGCAAAAGTCTCTAAATAACTTCTCAACTATTAAGAGGATCTCTTCCCTCAGGTCAACTGATGAAAAAGGCCTTAAATTGATTAAAAGGTATTTTAATTTTTTTTAATTTACATGTGCTAAGTTACATGTTAAAAAGAAATAACTCTCTCCTATCCAAGCATGAAAAATGACTGTTCCTCCTCATCATCCTAAAATTTATTTCTAAAGAGAAAACGAAATTAAATCAAAGAGAGAATAAATTTAGCTATATTTTAATTGCAAAAGAATACAATCAAAACAATAAAGAGCTACAAATTGCCTATAATCACTTTTCTTCTGTAAAAAATGACCCTAGGCCCTCCCTGGTGGCGCAGCAGGTTAAAGCACAGCATTAAGAAGCTAAAGCCAATTCAACATGAGTTCAATCCCGCCAGTCCTGGAGGTGACCCACATGACGGCAGACCTTTCCTGACCCTCCCGCTGCTCCCCTCATGGTATACTTTGTCAATCTACCTCTTCTGCTCCCCACTCTGTCTCTGGTGAATCCTCTCACCCACCACATCTCTGGCCTGTACCCCAGTTCTATAAGCATAAATAAATAAACCTTTAGAAAAAAAATACCCAGTTGCTACTCTGTTGATAGTCACTCTAACTTCACTCCACTAACAGTAGAGTGGACACAGGGAATTGAAGATATACCAACAAGTGGTATATTTTATACTCATAGTATAAAATACTACTTTTATACTATTTTATATTCCCTGAATATATCATCACAGAATATAAATCAACATTAATATTATAGTCACTGACTATAGCTGGCATCTATGACTGAGAAGTGAGGTAACCCATTCTTAGCCATTTTTAACTGCGACCCTGGTATCTGAGCAGACATTACCACCTACAGTGACATCAGCCATACAAAACCCAAACAAAGTAGGACACGGGCAATGCACACAGTGGAATGATTTGCCAGAGAAACATCTATATTGAAGAGCCTAAGTAAAATGTCATTTACTCAGGAAAATGAAGTAGTTAAAATGAAGTCACTAGGGACCGAATACTTACAGGTGCTACGAGGGTCTGGAAGCAGGCGAGAAGGGGAACAAACCTAGACTTGACTTAGGGTTGTTCCTTTAAATCCCCCTCCTGCTACAGTTGCTTTTAAAACCTGAAGGAACAGTTCAAAGACCACAACAGATCACCATATTTCGAGATGCAACTGACTACTAATCCCATTACCATGACAAGGTTTGGGCAATTTTGGAGGTGCCATACTTTGCAAAAATACAGGCAAGAGGGCCCACCCTGGTGGCACAACAGATTGAAGTGCAGTACTATGAAGCTGTCTGCAGCTGCTTCAGCACAAGTTTGACCCCCAGCCAGGGAGCTGACCCACATGGCGCAGCAGACATCACCTGCCTCACCCACTGCTCCCCTCAGCAGTGCACTTCATTAATCTGCCTGTTCTGCTCCCTGATGTCTCTGGCGAGTCCTCTCACCATCCCTGTACCTCTGGCCTGTACCCCAGTTCTGTATGCATAAATAAAGCTTTAAAAAAACATATAGGAGGGCTCTCCCTGGTGGCACAACAGGTTAAAGAACCGTGCCATGAAGCCCT